TGCCTCAAAGTGGGGAGTTGAATTTAGAAACATATTACATTGGTACTGGAAGAGATCTATTGCAGCTGAGCTAACCCTTTATTTATATTAATCATAACTATCATAAAAAACCATAATGTGTAACATCTGAGTGAAATACCAAATAAAATGTTCTGTACTTTTAGCTTGCCCACTGATCTTAATGGCTCCTCAAGCCACAAGCTATGGTAAATAATTCAAATCCTTTTCACTTAAAAGGAAAATGCTCAGAAGCCTGGTGGACCTCAATTCCATGATATTGTTTTCACTGAACACTTGTAAGAAATAACAAGCAAGACTTATGTGTGCAGAAGAGTTATTGTGTTAACTCGCTATTACCATAACAAAATACCTGAGACAATCTACTTAAAATGAGGAAAGGTTTATTGTAGTGCACAGTTTTAGAAGTTTCAGTCCACTGATGTTGTTACTGGGAGCCCATTTTGGGACAGAGTGTGAAAGGATGAAAGGGAGCCTGTGATGGAGCAACCCACTCAGCTCATGACAGGTAGAAAGCCAAAAAAAAAGGGAAGGGGTGAGGGGGACAGAGAGTCAAATACCCATAATTCCCTTTGAGGATACACAAAATTTCCTCCCTCTGGGCTCCACCTCTCAAGTTCTGCCGCTTCTCAACGGCATCATGAACCCTTTAACACTTAAGCCTTTGGAGGACACTTACTCAAAGCATAGCAATTTTAGTGAAGCTTGTCAACAGGGGTCTGCATCCATCATTACAAAAAGTAACTACGAGCACATTGTATTTTCAACAACAAAATCAAGCAGTATGGTTGGACAATGTTGTTTCTGAAAAGCACTGAAGCCTCCCACTGTATTATTGCATTGATCCAAATTGTAGCATTTATTGTTCATCTTCAATATGGAATATGACTTCACCACTAAGGAGAAAAAATGTGCTCTCAAGTGAGCAAAGTAGCTAGTGACATGTTATTATAATGAGAGCTGGTATTATTTATTTCATATGATGACATAAACAGGAAGGAAATTAGGAAGAATATATAGCAGTTTGTTAAAATGAATTGCCTGCTTGAGTGTGTGAGTAGGGTAGGGGATAGAAATAAATGTGCAAAAGGACAATGAACCAAGATAGAAAGATAATCCCTTCACCTGGAACATATAGTATGTATTTATTGTAAATTGCATGCATATGTTGAAAAGACATGTTAAAATCTCATGACAAAAAAAAGTGTGTCATGTTTCCTCTGCTCCCTAGAGAACATAAACAGAAATATTGTTCATATGCTATATAAATTTATAGCTCTGCAACATTCCCTAGAGAGGCAGGAAGCTTGGGTACGAATCTAGCCATTCTTCCTTCCTATCTCAGTTAGTTTTTGAGAGATTAGATTGGGAAGCAGAGTTTGCTGAGGGTTTTGTGTTTTAACACTAGCTCTGAAATTTCCTTGTATGCGTGTCAGCTTTCTGTGGTTGCGACAAAACTTCTCAGTTAAACCAACTTGTTTGTTTTTTTCTGGTACCAGGAATTGAACTCATGACCTTGCACTTGCCAGGCAGGTGCTGTGCCACTGAACTAAATCCCCAGCCCCTCAGTTAAATCAGCTTGAAAGGAGCTAAATCAGCTTCAGTCCATGGTCACCTGACTCTGTTGTTTTGGGGCCTGTGGTGAGGCAGAACATGATAGAAAGGTTCTATGCCATGGAGCAAATCTGCTCACCACATGGTGGCCAGGAAGCAAAGAGATAGAGAGGAAGAAATGAGGATTCCTTCAGGGTGTGCCTCAAACAACTTACTTCTTCCAGCGAGATCTCACATTCTAAAGTTTCCACCACCTCCCAGAGTCCATTAAGTTACGAAAACATAAATGGGTCAATCCATGGATGAGATCAGAGCCCTCAGGATCCAATAACCTTCCCAAACCTCCACCTGTACACCTGTTGCATTGGGCTGTGTTGAAACTCATGATCCAAACTAAACACATTGTATATCCAAATGATAATGCTGTGATATTAGGCACTTCTTACACTAAAGATTAAGATTGACATTGGCTATGTTACTGTGAAAATTACATGACATAGTGTAATTTAACAATAGATATCAAAATCCAATTACAAGGAAGAAATCTTTTTCTGTAAATGCCATCAGTGAGGTATTTTTCTAATATTTCTCAACTAAACCTTAGGGGTTTTCAGCATAAACAGCAGATGAAGACTTCACAGTGAGCCCTATTAACCATGTTATCATGTTTATACTTTTTAAAAAAAAGTAATATGGTTATAGTGATTGAAGAAATTAGTTAGAACCAAATTGATAAGAGAGGCTTTGTAGATAGGGACCTTGAATGATAAGTGCAGTCTGCATATGAGAAGACATTCCAAGTAGCAGAAAATCTGAGATGCTCTTTCTGGGGTATCCATACTGGGTCTGTAATGCTTGCTTTCCTCAAAGGTTTCATGTTGAGGAAATTAAACAAAAATACTGATACCTAAAAAAGTTTTGGTAAGGACACCTAAGGTCGGTCCAGTAATTTTGACAGAATATGCAGAGATTTGAGAAAAGCAGTTATTGCTTACTTTTGAATGGCTGGCATTGAATGAAAAAGAATTAAAGAAATGATGTTTCCATCAAATTAATTTGCAAGTGTAGTTGGTTATGCTCACATGCAGATTGCCAGGTATTTGGCTATAGATTCTTTTTACACATTTTTTTTTTTTTTTTTGTACTGGGAATTGAATTCATGACCTGCACTTGCCTTTTTTAAAAAATTAGTGTACTAAATATAGAAAAATTCCCCACCACATTATAATTCAGAAATCAGCAGACATTTTTGTTAAGGAATTATTATTTCTGTAGTTAGTTAGCCAGAGAAGTTATCTTCTAATTCCATGGTATTCATCCATCTCCTTATTTGAGCCCAAGTTTCAGTATTGGATTCTCTGATTCATTTGAGATCCACTAATTCCCTCCTCCCCATCTTTGAACAAAAGGGGAATTTGTAAGTGAGTATTCATTGGTCAATTTGTGGTATATTTCAGGGGTTAAAGAAATGAGTTTACACCTTCAGTTTTACTCCATTCTCTGCCGTATGAAGAGTGGAATGGGAAATAACAGCCGAATGGGAAATGAAACACTACTTTATTAGTTTGACAAGCCCTTTTCAAATCCCTAAAGTATATCTTTTCTGGAAAATCTGAACTGAAGCACAGTATAAGCTCAAGGCTTTGTTTATAGACTCAGTTCTCTGCTACCTCTAAATTAACTTGAGATTGCTGAGCTGTCCCTTCCCACCTAATTGTGTCACGCGTGTGTTAAGGCATGGCAGGCTTGTCTCAGAGGCCACCATAGGGACGGTCTGAAGCACAAGGACAAAAGCTAGACTAGTTAGAGGTTTCCCAGCTGTTATCACATTAATTCTGTGGTCAGAAGGTAAATATCTTCCACTCAGAAGATGGAAAAGAGACAAAGTGCTTTCCCCTAAGGACAAACAAAACTAAGCACAACACAGGCCTTTAGTTGGGGCTAATTGCAGGCTTTGTGATAAATAGTAGAGAGGTTATAGAGAGAGAGGTGACACAAAGCTACGAATGATTAATTCTGGTGAGATTCGGGTAGGCCTCGGGAAGGGAGATATTAGGGAACAAGGATGTTTGTCAGAGTAATGGTTGTCACAAGGAACAAGTTGTAAAAATAGAGAAATTGATAAATTATAATAAGTTTTGGGAAAGGTAAATAGTTTAGTTTGGTTTCAGTGAAGAAACTTAAATAAAGGCAAAAAGTGGGGGGTAATGGAGATGAGAATGTCCTACATGTCATGTTAAAGTATACAGGGCTTACCTAACGACATCTAAGGGAAGGGGACACTGGATTTAAGGTTTCCCTCATGAAATGAATACTTGTCTCTAAAGATGTCATTATATAAATATTTCCTCAGAGGGGCTGGGGATTTAGCTCAGTGGCAAAAGCGCCTGCCTGGCAAGCGCAAGGTAGTGAGTTCGGTTCCCGGTACCGGAGAAAAACCAAAAAAAAAAAAATTTTTTTTTCTCAGTATTAGTTCCCTGTGGCTGCCCTAACAAATTACCACAAATTTGGTGATTTAAAACAATATATCCCTATCTGTCTATCTCTCATCTATCTATCATCTATCATCTATCTATCAATCATCTATCATCTATCTTCTATCCATCTATCAATCCTCTATCATCTCTCTATCACCTATCATCAATCATCTATCAATCATCTATCTATCTATCATCTATTATATCTATCTATCAATTATCTACCAATCATCTATCTATCATCTATCTATCTGTTTGTCTACCTATTGTCTCTTTCTGTCATCTATCTACTTTCTACTTTACTGTTCTGAAAATTAAGACTCCAAATGGATAACCCTGAGTTAAAATAAAGATATCGGAGGACTGACTTCCTTCTGGAGACTAGGGAAGAATCCATTTTCTTGCCTTTGTGAGCTTCTAGAGCTTTGTCAGCTTTCTGTGCTTTGTAGACTTTTTCCACCGCAAAGGGAGCAGTGGGTGGTAAAATCCCTTGTGCTGCCTCACTGTGACACTGACTCTGATCTCTGTCCTGCATAAGGACCAGAGTGATTGCAATGTTCCCACATGGCCGCTCAAGAATCGTCTCTCTCCCTGTCTCAAGGTCAGCTGATTAACAACCTTCATTCCTTCTGCATTCTTTATTCTCTTGGCCCTGTAATATGATATTCACAGGTTCTGAAGATTAGGACATGGATATTTTTGGAACCTCATTTTTCCACCTAGAACACATCCTTGTATACACTAACTAAACAGATTAGCTTTTCAAAATCACATTCCTATTACATTGTCCTGTAATGGAAAGGATAATAATTGGTCATAGGTTTAGCATGTAAGAAATTAGAAAATATAATGAAAGCCTATTATTACAGATCTACTAAAATGTAAAAAACCTCCTTGGTAGGTAAGTCGTAATTCTTGAGAAAACAACTTAGAAAAGCAGTGGGGGTTTGCTTCATTTAGAGAACATTTTATTTGTTAGAATAAGATTTGACAGATTTTATTTTAACAGCTGGAGAAATTAATTTAAGATTATACTGTTCAGTACATTGGCACAGTTTTACAGGTAGTTGCTGAACAACTGTAGTTTTTGAAATAAAATCAGCATTTCTACATCAGAATGAGAAAATCTGAGGATAGATAAAAGCTGTACATTTAAGCAGTACTTTTTAATAGGTAGAAGAAAATTGTCAGAAAGTAGATCCACTGTGAAAATTTTGACAGTTTCCGGTAAATTTTGTCATAAATTAAATTTTCTAAATGTGTACTTCTCTAAACAGGAAAAAATAACAATGCCCTTTATAAATACTTTCATATTTACAGCATCCTTTTAAAAATAGCAAATTAAAAGTGACTGTTGTGAGTGATATTGCCAAAATTCAAACTAAAGTATTAAAATACCAGTCTAATTTGGTTGGATAGTTTTCACTATTGTGAAAGCTTACAGAATAAAATAATTCAGCTTTATATATAATATTTTTATATTTACAAATGCACATGAAGTTACATTTTGATATATTCATGCTTTATTGATTGTGCATCTCAAGTTACAATCAGTGAAATAAGTATGGAAACAACATATACTTCAGTCTAAGTTAAAAACAGATACTTTTGTTTACATTTGTGGAGTTATATTTTAGAATATTAAAAAATGGATATTGTAAATGGAGTTCTAGGTTGTTTTGCTAAAAATTTAAGTTTGAAATAATTCACAAAATGGCCAGATGTGTTGATTCAAATTCTTTATTTTACCTCAAAGATCTCTTATCTAGCTTACAAAAAAGCAAATTTATTCAAAATACATTTTATTCTTATAACAGCCATTTCCTTTTTACTGTTTTATATTCTGCTCCTTCTTTCTCTTATGTTTTGGTTTCTGTAATGAAGCTCATTGCTAGGGTGGTAGGGTAGTAGTTTCAAAGAGAACATGAGACACAAAAATATCAAGCCAGTGGTATCTTTCAGGACATTCATATATTTCTTTTCCTAGAAAGAAATCTCTTTTTGGGCATGGTGATATCACTCTTGAGAAACCAATTACTTTCCAAATGTCTGCAGTACTATTTTTGACATAACTATGTCATGTAGTAAACATACTATAGCTATATAGTATATAACTCTACCTTTATTATATACAATTCTTACATTGGAAATAAACCCCAAACTTAAAATATTTGATTATCTAGTAATTAATAACTGGATTATAGATTGAATCATTTTTATATACTGGTCATCTACAACATGGATTTCCAATTTCTTTCAGTTGTAATTATAGTTCTTCATGTTTACCGTAAGCATCCAAAACAGCAAGGGACATTTTTGAACAATCTATAATACTCTTCTTGGATCTTGAAAAGAGAAAGTAAAAGAAATGTTAAATGTAGCTACAGCAATCACATCATATTATTTTCAAATTACAATAAATAGTTCCATTTACGTCTTTAAAGTATTATTGCTTTTTGATTATTTATCAGAACACGCTCAAGTGAATATAAGCTACTTTATGTAGCTAATAACAAGCTCCTCTAAAAAAGCCACTTTCCCAATGAACAGCTAAATGTTCTGATTAAATACTTAAATGCACTGCACTAAAACAATGCAGGCAAAAGTCATATATCTATGAGAATAAGAATTTTCTATGAATTTGGAATCTGAGGCTATATGATTGTACTATAGGGTTGGTCAAAATGAGATATTGCTTACCTTTCTGGATAAAACACACAGGAATAAGAAAATGAACATTCCCTGGAAGGCGTTGCTGATTGTGAAGAGGTAAGCCGTCACCACCGATGCATGCACCACGTGGAGAACCCCAAAGATCCAGGTAGTGCCAAGAAGGAATAAGAGAGCAAGGGCTCCCCTTGCACACGACCTGCCATACATTTGGGGTGTTTCAGTTCACTATGCCTATTCCAGGGATTCCCCAAATCCCTCAAAGTCAGTGGAAATGGATTTTCACATCAATAAGAAATCTGTTACAACAAGTATTAATGACTTCGAGTTTGACAACGTGCTCTGCAATTGGATGGGACAGCCTTTAGGGTATGTCACTGTCCTGGGGCAGGATAGGCTCCTTGAGAGGATGATTCTTCACTCAAATGTGTGATTTAAAAAACTGTTTAATTGTCAGATTTTTTTATATAGTATAGTGCAATGAGTATGGTTTGATTTTAATTCAATATGGCAGTAATTCCCCAAAGTGAGACATGTATCTATCTGGTAGAAAGTATTTTCCCTAAGAAACCCTGAAAAGTATACCATGTGGACTTGAGCCAGCACATGTTCGTAACATCAAATGAGGTTTCTGCAGGTTTCATAGAGATAAGAGTGAAGGATATAAAACTAGAAATATATATATATATATATATACACACACACACACACACATATATATAATATGTATATTTATTTTTGCAATGCAGTTACCTCAAGATAAATACTGATTTCTTAAAAATTAAGGAAAAAAATGCTCATGTATTTTCAACTGTTTGCCAGTGATTTTTGGTAAAACAATATTCAGTCCTGCTCACTGAAGACATTGCCTTGGAAATGAAGCAACTGATGATTACTCCTGCCTTCATTTTTAGTCTAATTATGCTCTACTGGAGAAAGTGTTTCAGCAGTGTGCCTCAGAAAATGAGTCATTTTCATTTTTATTAAAACTAACATACTACACAAAACTATGAATGGTGTACAGTAAAAAAAAAAAAGTAATCGATCAAGCATTTGCTAAACCTCCACCATAAATCTGGTGCAAAGTATTGAAACTACAGCAGTGTTTCCAAGCAACACAAACAGTGTGTTGTTTTCACATTCCCTATAGTATATTTCAGCTTTTCCTGAACAAACCATTTTGAAGGTCTCAATAAATCAGTTTTAAAGAGAGAAGGTTAAAGGAAAAATCATAGCAGCAGTCAAACACAGAAGTACAAGGAAGAAACATTTACTAAATTCTGCGAAATGTTTTAGAAAAGACCATCCTAACTAAGACCTCATTTTGTGTTAAAGTGGACATCATCTCTTTTCCATGGGAGAATGCATTTGAAAAGACTGATTCACTTACCACTTAATCTGGGGTGTGTACTGTTTTATTAGAGATAGTAAATGCTTTTTCCCACTGCATATTTTATGGTGGGAAGATGGTGGGAGAAAGTCTGAACTAGTCATTTTAATAATAGTAATTCCAGAAATTATTTGTACTGTAAATTTCTAAAGCTTTTAGTCAATTGACACTTCAAGAAACATTTACCTTATGTTCTCATAGCAACTAACTTCTGGCTTCAGTCCAGCAGTGTGACGAAAAACTTTGTATATGATAACTCCAAAAGCCAGGAGATTCACCTGGGAAAATAGATTAATTAGAAAAAGAGGTAATTTTTACAGTAAAGTAGAAACATATAAAAAAAAGTAGTGAGGTTTTCAATAAGATATGCACCAAAAGTATCATGACATTTGTATATACATTACACTACAAAACCCCTGGTAAATTCAGACAGACAAATTTGTGGTTGATTTTTACAGTACAACTGAACACTGTTAATATACATGGTAGTAAGTACAATTGCTGGATTTTGCTAAAAAATTTGTTTAAGAAAATCCTTCAGATATTACAGTCACATCTACAGATTGATATATCATTTGCTGCCAGTAAAGTGATTAATATACACATTAGGATAAATTAAGGCTTGGGAAGCTTCATAAGCACTTGAGAATGCAACCTTTTGTCAGATGTCATTCTCTCAACCCTTTAAAAAATTTAGTCTGGGGAGGAAAATTTGAAAGAAAATTATAAGATTCAACAAAACTCCTCACTTTCTATTGGTAGAAAAATTTTGAATATATTTCCTTCTATTTATATTTCATCTAGATAGCTCTCTTAATATTTATATTTAAATTTCATTACCCCATATTTAACCTTAGAAGTTTTTGAAACATGAATCAGTGAAATAAATGTTTGTTGTAAGACAAACACATTCCACTGATGAACACTCTAATATTTTTATTTCATACCTTTAGCTAAAGAGAATGTGTGAATTTTCACCCCTTGTAAATGTTACTGACTTAGGAAAAATTTCTTCTTTTCCTATGTTTTTGGAAGCTTTACAGTAATTATTTGTAGTCAGAAGATTAAATGAGTGTTATAATTAACATGTATATCTATTCTATTGTAAGCATACTTATAATTTAAAGTATGAACTATTCTAGAAATAATCAATAGATCAATCCTTTCTTGAATATATTTTATTAATCCAGCTTTAAAAAATTCTTTTACAGTGAAAGTAACCAAGTACAGCATTTTCAGCTAATACTACCACTAATAACCAATTTTCAGCTAATACTACCACTACTAGTAATTTAGAAGCTTATAGTTCTGAGAAACATTTTTTTCTTATATTGGAAGAAATTTTATCTAGCTTCTCAAAATGAAATTGAATATTTATTATTATAAGAAGCAATATCAAGTAATAGATCAGAGCATTTCAGATTGTCATTTCTCTATGGAGAGGGTTTTGAGAGGAAATCTTAGAGGATTATGGGGTCTAGTCCCTTCTTTCTGCTTCTGTCAGTTACTTCTAATTGCACAACTAATTAATTCTACTTACAGTAATGCTTCCATACAAATAGAAGACTTTAGCAATTGCAGAGGGAAGATAAACTGTATTTAAATTGATTTAGTTGACAGTTTCACCCTATTTATGTGCTCAGATAATTTACTGGAATGACAATTTAATAATATTTAATTTAATACCCTCCTTAAGAGTTGTGGAACAGAAATACTTTGTATCTCCCAGGTTTCAATAGCTATAGCTTTTTAAATAAAAATTTGGGAGCTATAGTTCTACTTCATTTTACACATTTACACATGTGTATTTTTAAATAATTAAAATCATTAAAATTTGGTTAGTACAAATAATGTATGCCAAAGCAGATTTCATTTGAAAGACATTTTTATGGCACATTTGTACTGAGCCTTCAACAAAGAAACATTTATGATAAAGTAACTTTAAATTATTAAAAAAGTTCTCTGGACCCCATAATTTTTCCACATAAATGAGTGATTTAAAATATGTACTAAATTTTCTCTGACTTCTGTTTTTGTTAAAGCTTTGTGTGAAAACTGGCTGTTCTTACTGGTGTGGTTTCTCTAAAGTACATGCACATTTTGGATATGCCCTTCTGTGTCACAGGGCAAGACAATGAAGATGGGAAAGGAAACATTCCCTGAGAGAGATATAGGTCTAGATCTGGAAAGTACATTTCTTTCTGCAAAAAAAGGAAAATATTTACATACTCATAAAAACCATGTGCTGCTAGGTAAGTGGAAGAATAATTCTTATTCCATGACCTCACATATTCCCAAATGCAAGAGAATAGATGTTAAGGTATTTTATCAATCAAAAACAATAAAGAGATAAATTATATTATTTGTATACATTAATAGTATAACTATTTGAATTTCAAACTTGCATTTATTCTAAGAATTTTCTAAATGATCTAAGAAGTGTCTGCTACAGTTGTGGAGGGCTTGATACATGTATGTTAATGAACAGAACTGACATGCTCTTTTGCTCTCACAGATTCTTATTTTCTGTTTCATTTTAAACTTTTATTCTTATTAGCACATATTTGCAGTACATAATGACTACTTTCATTATAGGGTGTTGGTGCATGTGTATAACACAGCTTAATTTGAAGTACTTGGGGCTTCAAGGACAGTGGGCTCTTTAGTTATGATCTGCTTGACGTATGAACAACTTGGATTATGACCAGAATTTTAGTTTTAACTTACTACCAAAGTCTCGAGTTATGACCTGAATGCTAGCTGCTTGTGCTTCCAGATGGTCTCAGGTACAGAATTAACCCTTGAAGAGTTCTGGGAGCAATGTTACAACATCCTTTCCTGCATGGGGTTAACTGAAAAATCCTGGGCCAGTGTCTCTCTAAGGACACTGAGATCTGCCTGCACACAGGAGAATGACTGTGAAGGCTGTGTGAATGACTGTGAAGGCTCAGGAGCCTGAGCCTTCCGTTGATGACTCGAGTAGCAACCAGCCCTTGGAGAATGAAATGAGTCTGTAAATCAAGGGTCCACTGTATTTGAAAGATTATAGTCCATTAGTAGATCAAAGAATGGAGACAGAAGGAACATGGTATAGAAAAAAGCCATGAGGGTTGAGGGACCTAAGAAAATGCTATCTTTTTAAACAGTTGGTAAAAGTGGCTGGATTGTAGTCAACAAAATGAAGTAGTATAAAGAACAAATATCATTTAGATTTTATCTTAAGTGCAAAGTTATTCATTCTTTCATTCAAGAATCATTTATGTGCTGTAGCTTTTCCTCAAGAACCTGCAGTACAGTGGAAGAGATGACCAACCAACAGGCAAGAGCAACAAGTTCAGGAACTCAGGGTAGTCTGCACAGTGGCATGGAAAGAAGAGGTGGTAGCACCCTAAAATAGGGTTTCTAAGCAAATCTTGAATGACCAGTAAAGACAGAGTAGGACAACCTAGAGAAACGGGAGATCATTCTGATTTCAATCAGTGGCTCATTCATTTCCTAGGTGATCAGATCCAGAGGTTCACGATGCTACCCACTTATTTCTAAGTCTTCCATTTGAAAGTATAATAAGTATGTGAGTTAAAAATGTCAAAAATAAAGTGCTATTTTCCCCAAATCAACCTGTTTTTGTTGTCATCTTCTCTACCTCAAACAAAACAAAACAAGACCAAATAAACAGAAGTAATCTCATTCTTCTAGCTGAGCATTCCTATCCACTCACAATTCTTCACCTCTAATTTCAAACTGTAGGCAAGCATGAGACCACTTCTTTCCAATTTTCACAGCTACAGTCCTGAAATAGGTCATCATCATGCCTCCCTTGGGCTGTAATGCAGAAACTTAACCAGGGATTACCTGCTGCCACCTTTGCTGGACTACAACTGACCTCTTCTCAGCAATCAGACCCATCTCTTCAAAATGTGTGCAGACCATTTCTCTATTCAGAATCCTCCACTGCTTCTACCTTACGTGAACGTAGAGCGGCAGAGCTCCCAGTGGCTTCTAAAGTCTGGCGTGATTTGATCTCTGCTGTCCCTCTCTCCCCAAGTCCTGTTCTCTGTCCTTTAGTCAATTCAGTCTATCTGCACCTTGGCTCCTATGTTGCCCCTATCATAGCTGGTGTGCTATTGGGCAGCTGTACTTAAGATAGGCTTAGATACTTGCTGGGCTCTAAGACACTCTCATGGCTTAGCCCCTCACCACCTCTGTTTATCTGTAAACTGCCTCTCGGAATATTTTTTTAAAAGCTGAAACCCAAATTCAGACCTGAGTTCAGTTCTGTGGAAATGTAGAGAGTGACCGGTATTCCACTCTGTTTTGGAAGAGGCAAACTCTATGCCAACAGGTTCTTTCCTTGTCTTAGTCACTAGTAACCAAGAAAGATTCTCTCTGTGACCAAACATTGCTCAGGCCCCTCTGGACCCTCTTGTGAACTCAGCTTTGATCCAGAGCTTCAGAGTGCATTCTTGTAGAGACCAGTTCTATCAAAATCCTGCCAAGTCAATTTAGGTCACTCTAGTGAGACTCCTCCCTCCTCTGACATCTGATCACTCTCAATGTCTAAGCAACTTCCTCATCTCTCCCTGTGCTGTCTGATCACTCGGCCCAGCCGTTCAGCGAGTCCTATTAGGTCAGTTTAACAAAAATTCTCTACCCGGGTGTCTCCTCTTAACACTCATTCCATTACCCACAGCCTGCTCCTTGGCTAGAAATACTCGGGTATCTTTACTGCTTTTAGACTTAAGCTGATCACTCTCCCCTTTTGCTAAAGTTTTGACCATAGTCCGATATAAAGCATTCCTTATCACGTGCTAAAAATGAGAATAAGATTTTAAATTAAAAATTTACATCAAAGTAATACTATTTTTTACTGGGACAGTCATTTCCTGAAATTATTTAGAGTGCTTTCTCTTCAGCTACTCTAAATTTTCTGAATATTATGACCCTGGATTATATGGTCCAGCAGACATGGGGCCTCCGTTCATACTGCTTACATTTTCTTTTTATCCATCAATACATAAGCTATTTTAAATGCTTTTCCTAACAGCTGAAGACCATATATACAGAATCAGTATTGCCTAAGGGTGTCTAAAGCCACATGACTTCACATACTGAAGAGTTAGAAATTAAGTAAAACCTCTGTGCAGTTTACGTGGTGTCAAAAGAGAATCTTCTGCAAAACAGACACTTATGAAAGATAAAGGATAAGATGAGGTAATAAACAGCAGCTCCAAATAAAATGACATAGAATAAAAAACTGCATCTGATAATAACAACTAAT